GCCTGCAGTTTGATTTTGGACTATTTTTAAATTAGAATTTGTTAAAATTGTGTAAAATTGGCCAAATTACAGATTACTGTGCAGTTATAGGTTAGTTGTGATAGCTAAATGGGCAGTTTCTTGCACTTAATCAACAGAACAGAAGGGATATTAGCAAAATAGCTGCAAATTTGGTCAAAATGAGCATTGGAACTGTTCTAAAATAGGACTAAAAGTAGATGCCATCAATGATGTGTAAATTGCACCTAGACTGCCAACTTTGTACCTGTGTAATTCCATAAGTTTTTCATAAAATTTTGCATTTTTAGTGTTCTTACCATTAATCCTTAAACTATCCAAATGTAGATCTATGTTTGCTAGCGTAGTGCTCCGAACGTAGATCTACGTTTTTTTCACATTGTTTCTTATGGAGAAAATCAAGGTCAGAGCGCTACGTGTGCAAATGTAGATCTACGTTTGGACAGTTTAAGGGCTAGAGAATGATTCTCTATCATTTCAAAATAATTTTATTATTTTTTTTTGGAGGGGAAAAATCATGACACAGTCAGCACTTTTAATGTTAGGGTCACGACAGTGTAAGGGTTAATAATCAAATACATTATAATTTTGGGTAAACAAATCATGTTTCCAATTAGATATTAGAAATAATGAAGCTGAGATAGAAACAAGATGAAGGGGAAATTCCTAGGCCAAATTGTGAACAAATTCAAATTTAATGTTGTCCATAACACATCACTAAAAGTATTAAAGACTGTAGAGATACTCAAAAAAATTTACTATTATATTCTGTAATCACCAAGGCAGTAGGTTGGTAGACAGCAACTGCCCAGGGAGGTACTACTGCCCTGCCAAGTGAGTGTAAAACGGAATCCTGTAATTGTTTTACATGATGGTAGGATTGCTGGTGTCTTTTTTCTGTCTCTTAAACATGCAAGATTTCAGGTACATCTTGCTACTTCTACTTACATTTAGGTCACACTACACATACATGTACAAGCATATATATACACACTCCTCTGGGTTTTCTTCTATTTTCTTTCTAGTTATTGTTCTTGTTTATTTCCTCATATCTCCATGGGGAAGTGGAACAGAATTCTTCCGCCATAAGCTATGCGTGTCATAAAAGGTGACTAAAATGCTGGAAGCAAAGGGCTGGTAACCCCTTCTCTTGTATACTAAAGTTAAAAAGAGAAACTTTTCTTTTTCTTTTTGGGCCACCCTGCCTTGGTGGGATACGGCCGGTTTGTTGAAAGAAGAAGAATTTATGCTGCTAATACTTCATTTTTCCCTCATCTACCCATGCTTTCTTTTAAGCATGCAAATGTATCACATACAGTCATTTGTGTCAAAATTTTATCAAACCAAAATGAACTTCTCAATATCACTGTAACTTGCAGTATAAGTATCTATGTTTCTTAGAAATAAAGATTTGGACTTCTCAATCATTGCAATTTATGGTTTATTTATGCTTCTTAAAAATAAAGATTCTTTTTTTCTTCTGATGCTTCACATGTGGTATTTGTGGCAGAAGATCCACCTCAGCAATCCATCAATTAATCATCACTCAACAAGATGTAGTTCTCAGAGATATCACAAATTATAATTATAGACATCACAGGCTGCCCTTGTCAAGTTCCTAAACCTACTAAATTTCAATGCCATTTTCAGGAAGTTAAACCAGTCCTGATTACAGATGGCACAACTTTTTTTATATTAAATCCAGATGTCGTCATCCTCAACACCACAGTCAACAAGGAGCTAGTCGAGATATCTACTTGCTTGACAACAAATAAACTTACTCTCAATATTGACAAGACCTTCTACTTGTTGTTTGGGAATAAAGCTAAAAATGCTCAGTTTAGCATAAAAATAAATAATTCATTCATAGAAAGAAGAGATAAGGAGAAATCCTTAAATATAAACCTTGACTTCAGTCTGAAGCTTAACACTCACATCAAACATGTTAAGAAACTTTCCAAAACTGTGGGCATTCTATCCAATATATGATACTATGTCTCACACAACATTGCTCACTCTTTACTACTATAATCTATCCTTATCTCAGTTATAGTATCTGTGCTTGGGGATACACTGCAGAAAATCACCTAAAACCTATTGTTATCCAACAAAAATCAGCTATCAGAATGATAATTCAAACTGATTCCAGACAATACACAGCTCCTCTAATCAAAATTCTAAATTTATTTAAAATACAAAACATATATATAATTATTATTGTGCATACTACAGTAATCATAAATAACAATAATAATAATAATAATAATAATAATAATAATAATAATAATAATAATAATAATAATAATAATAATAATAATAATAATATCTTTATTTCTACAAGTACATGTACAAGGTATACAGGCCTAGCTGACATCAATGACATACTACTATACAGAAAGCCGCTTGTTATGCAGAGCATTTCAGGAAAATTAGGTCAGTTTTGTCCCAGGATGTGAACCATACCAGTCGACTAACACCCAGGTACCCATTTTATACTGATGGGTGAACAGGAACAGCAGGTGTCTTATGGAAACACGTCCTAATGTTTTCCTGATCGCTAGCGCACTCAGCTCAGTGTGTGAGCTGAGTGCGCTAGCGATCAAGCTATATGTCACCAATTCTTACATTAATTGTATGCTGCATATATCAGAAACAAAACTTGATACAGTCTTTATCAATGTTATACTGTACTACTGTTCACTCTACAGCTTCAGAACACTGCACTGTAATGCTAATGCTGACTTAACGCATTTCTGGAAAATTGTCACGTAATGCATAAACATCACACTGGAAATATAGACCACTATGATATTCCCAGTGTTTGTTTGAACATCTACAGATATTCTATGCAAGTTTAAGGCCAAAAATGTGGAAAAGCAGATCAGGTGAATGAAAAAATTGTAACATACCTAATAATTTCTTTACCCTAAGAACACAGTAGGCCTACTAACCCATGCTAGGCAGGTACAACTCACACCCAGCCACACCCACTCATGTACCTTCCAACCTAATTTTTTAAGCAACCCAAAATTCTCATGACACTACTAGGGAGTTTATTCCACTCATCTACAACTCTACTGCCAAACCAGAACTTTCCTACTGGTCATTATAAAAGTGACACCAGCAGGTTGCTATTCATATTAGAAGTTCAATGAACTCAAATACAAAAAGAAGGTTTCCATATTAACATCATTGAAAACATTTATAGTAAAGTTCAAGAAGAAATACAAGTGTTCACGTATTTCGTGTTGCCAACAAAACGTGTCTTGACTGCTGTCAAGATGTGACTTTGTTACTGTGCTGTCAACATGAAACCCCATGATTGTGCTGTCATGACAAACATCATGACTGTGCTGCCAACATGTGGTGTCATGAGTGTGCAGTTAACATGTGACCTCATGAGTGTAACATCATGACCATGCTCTCAACAAGTGACCACATGACTGTGCCATCAAAATGTGACCTCACTAGTGTGAGATGATCATGCTGGTGGTGAGCTAGTCTAGCACTGCTACTCACAGAGATGGAGTCAACACTAAGGGCGCTACAACGACTCCGCTTCTTTTTCTCACCATAACTCATCTCACTATACATAAGAGAAAGTATCTACTATAACATCCATCAACCACACTCATCTTCAAAAGAAATTTGTCCTTACTAAAAATAAACATCATAGAATAATAGACATAAAACAGATTAAGCAGTGTTACAGAAATCAAACAATTTCACTACAGTCTACACACTAATTTTAATACATCATTATATCCCACTAAGGTATGGTGACTTAGAGAAGAAAACACATTCACCATCACTTGTTCTCTAGCTGGCTGTCTTTTCAGAAGAGAAGAGACACTTTGGTGCATTGTTAACCCAACAAGCCACATCATCCCTAGCCCACTTTCAAAGAAGGAAACATACTCACAATCACTAATTTTCCAGGTTTGTTTCCTGAGGTTCACAGACATCACAGTTCCAATGAACTTTTAAAACAACCCAGTGCTGAAATTGTAGGCACTGTACTTCCCTCCAGGACTCAAGTCTGGCTAACAGATTTTTTTTTTTAACATGTCAGCCATTTCCCACTGAGGCAGGGTGACCCAAAAAGGAAGAAAAACCCAAAAAGATTTATGCACCCATATTTCTTACACTGTTACTTGTGTTATCCTTCCCTTTGTTAAAAGAAGCATACATGAACTTTGCCTATCCTCAGGTATTACACACACACATTGAACAAAAGAACAAACTATTCCAGAACTTGATAACTGAGACACTTGGGCAACATTTGGGAATCTTCAGTCTGGAAACATTTCACCAGCCACTGCGGATTCTTCAGTCCAATATAGAGAAGAACAGCGGAAGATAAGGAGAAGTTTTAGGTAATCAGTCCCACAGCCTCGAGTTTGTGTGTTCAGTCCATCAATCTCTATCATCAAATTGTTGCTTTTCTAAATCATTTATACATATTCCAGAACTTGACTTCCACCTGCTTCAACACCCAAGTTGTTGATCATCCCACTCTCCTAGTTTCCCACTTTCAACTTACTAGTTGACTCACTTCTGGCTCTTCATTTATTGGAATAATTTCATCCCTCCTTATCCCCAAGATGAAATTCCTGCCTCTATTTCATCCTCAATAATTTCTGAAACTCTTCCCATCTCTTCAGCACTTTATTCAACAACTTTTTTTACTCTAACAAATCCATGTATATACTATCTTGTTTAAACACGCACCATGAACAAATCCATGCTACTATCCTGTTTAAACATGCACCATGAACAAATCCATGTACTATATTGTTTAAACACGCAACCTGGACAAATCCACATACTATCTTGGTTCACACAAGCACCATGAACAATAAGCAGAAAGATACAGTAGATAATTCTGAACAATATTTTTACTAAAACACTATTAAAAATGTTACTATTGATGGGACAAAAGTAGTAAGGATCTACAGCAACCAAGTTGTAAACTATCTTACCGATTTGTGTAGTTTGAGGATGGACGAGAGTCTTCACTATGACCATTCATGCCAGGATAGTCTTCACTCTCAGGAGAAGATAATCCATCTGAAAGGCATGCAGATCTCAACTTTAATCAACACATTAAAAAAATAAACATTCTCATTTTGAAAGTAAAAAACAAAAAGCTGCAATAGTCTACTTTTACTTCATAATAAAGAAACACAGTGATCTGTAATAAAAATCTGAAAATTTAAGGTAATCGTTTAGCAGATGGCTCACAACAAAGCAAACCCTAAATTATTTTCAATTTTTATTGTAATATATATCTAAATTTTCCTAGGTAGTAGGCTGGTAGACAGCAACTACCCAGGGAGGTACTACCGTCCTGCCAATGGAGTGTGAATGGAAACCTGTAACTGTTTTACATTAAGGCAGGATTGCTGGTGTCTTTCTGTATATAGGTATATCTGGCTCTTCTTGTTACACTTAGGTCACACTACACATGCATGTACTGTACATGCATATATATACATACCCATCTGGGTTTTCTTCTACTTTCTTAATAGTTTTTGCTCTTCTTCATTTCCTCTTATTTCCATGGGGTAGTGGAAAAGAATTCTTCCTCCATAGCCCATGCATGTCGTAAGAGGCGACTAAAATACCGGGAGCAAGGGGCTAGTAATCCCTTCTCCTGTATAAATTATTAAATTTAAAAAGAAAAGCTTTTGTTTTTTATTTCAGGTCACCCTGCCTTGGTGGGATATGACCAGTTTGTTGAAAAAAAATATATAAATTGTGCTTACATACTATATTAGGTATGCAAATGAGTATCTTAGACCTTTTTCTGCTATTGTCGAACATTATTCTGATTAAACCCTTTCACTGACTGTCACACAGATCTATGTTATTGATGCCAGGGTCCTTCATGTAGGTCTAGGTCATGAGCTCAGCTCACTCAGATAAACTGTGAGCGGTAAATTTTGGCTTAAGCATGAGAGAATGGTTCCGTATGGTGAGTGTACATGGTTTAAAAATAAATCCTGTCCTACACAGTGAGTGATGGAAAAGCATGTGTTTGGCTGAACCATGTGTTTGGCTGAAAATAGTAACTCTGAGGTACTTATTTTCCAGTATTTTTTTTATGGTTTTATTTTATACACAGTGGAGAATATGATACATGGCACAACACATTATACAGAACAGAAGACATGCTATTGAAATAGAGATGATTTTTGTTGGTTCCAGGACTGGAAGTAGCTTGAAATCAGCTTCAATTTATCAGAAATATTCGACTTTTGCCCCTTTTTCCTAGGACAGGTAAGGCCCTCTTACACCCCCAGTCTGTTTCAATGGGATGCCATAAACCATGACAAATCATTCTTGATTGGTCATGGATTTCTTGTGATGATCATGAATTCAAAATGAAAGACAAGTGGGTCCTGGGGATGTAATTAATGAACAGAGGAAATGTCTACAGTGTTTATTTTGGACTCGATTTTTAAATTAGATTTTTTTTTAATTTTGTGTAAACATGGGTGTGAAGCTTGGGTTGTAACTGCAGCAGCGAGGAGGCGGTTGGGGGCAGTGATGTCCTGTCTAAGGGCAATGTGTGGTGTAAATATTATGCAGAAAATTCGGAGTGTGGAAATTAGGAGAAGGTGTGGAGTTAATAAAAGTATTAGTCAGAGGGCTGAAGAGGGGTTGTTGAGGTGGTTTGGTCATTTAGAGAGAATGGATCAAAGTAGAATGACATGGAGAGCATTTAAATCTGTAGGAGAAGGAAGGCGGGGTAGGGGTCGTCCTCAAAAAGGTTGGAAGGAAGGGGTAAGGGAGGTTTTGTGGGCAAGGGGCTTGGACTTCCACCAGGCGTGCATGAGTGTGTTCAATAGGAGTGAATGGAGATGAATGGTATTTGGGACCTGACGATCTGTTGGAGTGTGAGCAGGGTAATATTTAGTGAAGGGATTCAGGGAAACCGGTTATTTTCATATAGTCGGACTTGAGTCCTGGAAATGGGAAGTACAATGCCTGCACTTTAAAGGAGGGGTTTTGGGATATTGGCAGTTTGGAGGGATATGTTGTGTATCTTTATACGTATATGCTTCTAAACTGTTGTATTCTGAGCACCTCTGCAAAAACAGTGATTATGTGTGAGTGAGGTGAAAGTGTTGAATGATGATGAAAGTATTTTCTTTTTGGGGATTTTCTTTCTTTTTTGGGTCACCCTGCCTCGGTGGGAGACGGCCAACTTGTTGGAAAAAAAAAATTCAGAGAAACCGGTTATTTTTATATAGCCGGACTTGAGTCCTGGAAATGGGAAGTACAATGCCTGCACTCTAAAGGAGGGGTTCGGAATATTAGCAGTTTGGAGGCATATGTTGTGTATCTTTATACGTACATGCTTCTAAGCTGTTGTGTTCTGAGCACCTCTGCAAAAACAGTGATTATGTGTGAGTGAGGTGAAAGTGTTGAATGATGATGAAAGTATTTTCTTTTTGGGGATTTTCTTTCTTTTTGGGTCACCCTGCCTCAGTGGGATACGGCCGACTCGTTGAAAGAAAAAAAATGGCCAAATTACCAACATTACCAACTTGTGTGCACTTTACAGTTGCTTTCATAGTTAAATGGGCTGTTCCTTGTGTTCATTCAATAGAATGGAAGGCATACTAGCAACATAGCCAAGAATTTGCTAAATTGGCACCTTTGTAATTCTGCAAGTTTTCCACTAAATTTAGCACTTATGGTGTCATTACCTTCAGAAAAAGAATTTTTTAAATGTAGACACTATGAGCACTTTTAATTTTGGGGCTTTGACAGTGAGTGTTACCAGACATTCAGACAATTACCCTTTTTAGTTATTAATGAGGGTTGAGTGTACACATCTATCATATATTAAAACCTCTGGTGGTCACACTCATAGCTAAGTGGTCTAACCTGAATATAGTCCATGGTGGTCAAGGACATCAGAGTGGTGAAGGTAAGAGTGGCCAAGACCTTCACCTCCGGCCATTTCTTCACCACCCATGGTGTCAATATTCTCGGCCTCCTCAACCATGTCGAGCCACTGACTGTTGTACCAGCGAAACTTGTGGCACTGGATTCTTACTGCCCAGTCTTCATCATTCTCCTGTGTTAAAATATTAATCATTAATGACTACTCTTAAAAATATTATGATTTATCTCATGGAAAAAGATTTCAACCTGTGAGGGTCATACAGAATGTAATGAATAAGACATATTGGGTTTGATCCAAAGATGAGAATGACAGCTCATTACTGCTCCCTGAAGTTTTCTCTGAACAACCCAGCCTGAACAACCCAGCCTGAACAACCCAGGCTGAACAACCCAGGCTGAACAACCCAGCCTTCAAGATGTAACTAAATGTTGACCAAACTTTTCTAACAAGTTCCAAAATTATTTTAACCACTAAACTGTCATGTACCAGTATGTCTTAAGCTATCAAAGTTGGTGATGTACTAGTACACATAATTCAATGTCCTCAAATAGGCTGTGAGTAACAAATTTAGACCTAAACTGTGTGTGAGCAGTATATAAAATTCCTGACTCACATAGAGCATGGTGTGAACAGTTACTCTCTCTCAGCTATTGTTAACCATGGCTTCCAGACATGAATCTCTCACTCCCACCACAATTAACCACTTATTGTTTACACCTACATGCATTAAAAGTGAGAACGTACATTCTGATATGGAGTTCCAATGGTTTGAGATGAATGTAAGTGAAGGGACTAATCATAATATTACTTGAATTCAAACTCAGCCAACCCACAACCACAGCACCACCACCACCACTGCTCTGACCAATTCCATCTTATCTGCAACTTCATAATTAGCTAGCACTAATTCTTTCTACTGACAGGAAGATAAAGGCCCAGAGATGTTACATGTGTAGTCACACCAAAAGACCTCCCCAACACAAAGATACAAGATACTGTGCAAGTCTTGTGAGATAATGGTGTGCCTTATGTCTTGTTTTGAGGAGTTCCACACATTGCAACAATTTTTACAGCATCAACGATGATTGTACATCATGTATATATAAGATAGAAACAGTCAAAAACTGAAGCAGAGAAACATTATCAGTTTAGTGTGTGTATAATAAACTCGACAAAATTTGAATACTAAAACAAATAGCAACACAATCAGTGTCCAGTGTTTAGAAATGAAAACAAAGCAAATACATAAGAAAGAAAAAATTAGAAAATCAGAAAGAGCAAAGATTGAGGTCACGCGACAGCCTGGCTGTTGCTGTCACATTCACCAAGACCATCACTTTGGCACCACCAGGGTTCCCTATATAGTGCATGAATTTTGTTCATTATGATCTTCTTACCTAGGGAAAAATATATTCTACAATTTCTGATTTTTTTTTCTCAAATATCATGACACAGAAAGGGCATTTAATTTTAGAGCCTTAGACACTTTACAGATTAAAAGACCACAGAAGACACACACCTTTTTTAAACCCTGCTTAAAGGAGATGTCAACCTGCTACCAACAGACATCAGCCTGGTACTAACAGGCGTCAGCCTGCTACCAGCAGACGTCAGCCTGCTACCAGTAGGTGTCAGCTTGCTAGCAGCTGGCGTCAGCCTGCTACCAGCTGGCATCAGCCTGCTACCAGCAGACATCAGCCTGCTACCAGCAGATGGCAACCTGCTACCAGCAGATACCAACCTGCTACCAGCAGACGTCAGCCTGCTACCAGCAGACGTCAGCCTGCTACCAGCAGACGTCAGCCTGCTACCAGCAGATGTCAACCTGCTACCAACAGACGTCAACCTGCTACCAGCAGACGTCAACCTGCTACCAGCAGATATCAACTTGTTACCAGCAGATATCGGAAATATTGCCAGAACAAGTCTGGAAGTCTTCAAGAGAAGACTGCCATGTACGAGATCAACCAGGCTGTGATTGTTACGTGGGACAAGGGACTGCCAACACCAACTGTCTGAGTGAACAGGTAGTCAAGAGAAGAGCCTAGCCCCAGGCTGGGCTCTGAGAGTAGAAAAACTTTAAACCAATCATAAGTATATCAGACCATACACAGATAGAAGAATGACAGGAGACAACACACAACACAATATACACAGTGGAGAATATGATACATGGCACAACACATTATACAGAGAGGCAGACTGACCACACACATCGCACAACACATTATACACAATGGAGAATGACAGGATATATCACACAACACATTATACACAATGAAGAATGACAGGATACATTATACACAGTGAAAAATGATAGGATACATCACACATTATACACAGTGAAGAAAGACAGGATACATCACCCCTCAGAGGAAAGACTGTGAACGTTAACCAACATAATATATTTCAGTAACACCTCAATACTCAGTACACAAGTTGTCATAATCATCATCATCAGACTTGTATCGAATCCCATTTAATGTGAGTTAACAGTTCTTACAGAAGGTTCTATTGCACCAGCAGGAAGACTCAGAACACACTAGACTTACCCCAATAATATCCAGTGTAGTATCACACACCCTGCGAATCTCTGTGTTTTTATCATGCATGAGGTCAATGAGGTAAGCTGGCACCTCAGTGGTAGATATGACTTGGGGTCGTGTTGCTTCATGTCGGGTCAACTGGTAGAAGACATAAACAATCTGCAGCACAACTTCGTCGTCTTCTTGTTTGGCTGCAATAGTCATAAGATTGAATCATCCATTAAAATTATTTAAATACTATAACTTTGAGGGGACTTCAGCTAGAGCTTGCCATGGCCACGCTGGCAAGAGATTCATCTGAAAAAACTCGCATTTGTGGTCACAGTGGTGGCCCATGATAACCTCCCTATGGTGTACAAATATACCTACTTGGATGAATCTTATTGTAGCTTGCTCAGTGGTTTATGCACTGACCTGCAGTTTTACCACTCACTTGTCATGGGTTCAAACCCCACCAGTTCCCTGGTTTATTTAATTATAACTTTGTATGCCATACATTTTATATATAGTATATGAAATATGATTCAAATACTAATGGTTATATTAGGGCATTTAGGAATTGTAGTCGAGAAACCTTTACATAAGAATGTAATTCTTTCCTATTAGCTTTCACCAAAATGCACTTCTTGTAAAGTAAAAGGACACAAGTGCAACTAATGTGACATTTTATTGTGGCAACGTTTCGCTCTCCAGGAGCTTTGTCAAGCCGTTACAAACAGTACATGGACACAGATGGTATGTATAGGCTCAGAGTGAGGTGCAATACTAGTGGTAGTTGCACTAGTAGTAGTAATACAATATGGTAAAACAATTAACTTGCACATGAGTAAAAGGATATAAAAAATATTACTTGGGTGACATAAAAAATAGGTTAGACAAATATTTCTATTGGAGACTGGGTAGAGAAGACCTGTTTCAGTGTACATTCTCTGTAATGTGCTTTGTGTAGTATTAACAGGAGAGACTAAGTGATGGCAGGGTTTACTGTTTTCAGGAGGATTCTTGCTAAGACTTCAGAGATGGTGAAGCTGCCTTTGTTTTGTTTAATTGTATTCAAAACAGCGATTAGTGCTGATTCAAGGCACTTGCGTCTGCAGAAATTAGTTTCTTTGATCACTAATTGGGCATCCCTGAATTTCATGAGATAATTGGTGGAATTTCGGTGTTGTACACAGGCGTTGTTCAAGTTATCGTTCCTATGTGTGTAAATGTGTTCACTGAGGCATGTAGGAACAATAACTTGAACAACGCCTGTGTACAACACTGAAATTCCACCAATCATCTCATGAAATTCAGGGACACCCAATTAGTGATCAAAGAAACTAATTTCCGCAGACGCAAGTGCCTTGAATCAGAACTAATCGGTTTCGAATACAATTAAACAAAACAAAGGCAACTTCACCATCTCTGAAGTCTTAGCAAGAATCCTCCTGAAAACAGTAAACCCTGCCATCACATAGTCTCTCCTGTTAATACTACACAAGCACATTACAGAGAATGTACACTGAAACAGGCCTTCTCTACCCAGTCTCCAATAGAAATATTTGTCTAACCTATTTTTTATGTTACCCAAGTAATATCTTTTATATCCTTTTACTCATGTGCGAGTTAATTGTTTTACTATATTGTATTACTACTACTACTACTACAACTACCACTAGTATTGCACCTCACTCTGAGCCTATACATACCATCTGTGTCCATTTACTGTTTGTAACGGCTTGATAAAGCTCCTGGAGAGCAAAACAATAAAATGTCACATTAGTTGCACTTGTGTCCTTTTACTTTACATATTGTCAGTAATTCTACCAACATTATTACAAAATGCACTTCTTCCCCAATTTCACTGATGACTGTCAATGCAGAATACAGGTGGGGATATACTTTTGGAGTGGTTGTTGCTTTTATTTAATAAATGTATGGAAGAGGGTAAGGTACCTAGGGACTGGCAGAGAGCATGCATAGTTCCTTTGTACAAAGGGAAAGGAGACAGAAGAGAATGAAAAAATTATTGGGGAATAAATCTGTAGTAGGTTGGTTGGCAGCAACCACCCAGGGAGGTACTACCGTCTTGTCAAGTGAGTATAAAACGGAAGCCTATAATAGTTTTTACACGATGGTAGGATTGCTGGTGTCTTTTTTCTGTCTCATAAACATGCAAGATTTCAGGTATGTCTTGCTACTTCTACTTGCACTTAGGTCATACTACACTTGCATGTACAAGCATAGATATACACACCCCTCTGAGTTTTCTTCTATATTCTTACTAGTTCTTGTTCTTGTTCTTGTTTGTTTCCTCTTATCTCCATGGGGAAGTAGAACAGAAATCTTCCTCGGTAAGCCATGCATGTCGTAAGAGGTGACTAACATGCCGGGAGCAAGGGGCAAGTAATCCCTTCTCCTGTATACATTACTAAAGTTAAAAAGAAAAACTTTTGTTTTTCTTTTTGAGTCACTCTGCTTTGGTGGGACATGGCCAGTTTGTTGAAAGAAGAATAATACAGTAGAACCCCGAAACCCATGGATTCTGTATTCACTCTTTCAGTTATCCAGTTTACTGTGGCCTAAAAATAACCCTTAATTTTGTTTAATAATGGTCCCAAAGTGCAAAAGTAGTGATGCTGGCAGTTCTTCAAAGCCTAAGAGAAGCAGTGAAATGCTTCCCATCGGTGAAAAAGTTCCAATTCTAGACTTATTTTGCATAATTTATCAATTAAACTTTATCACAGGTATGTAGCTAAATGAAAAATGATTTATATATAGGGTTTGCTACTATCCACAGTTTCAGGTATCCATGGTAAGTCTTGGAACACATACCCCACAGATACGGGGAGAATACTGTAATAAGAATCATAATAAAAAAAAATTTCAACACACCAGCGTCTCCCACCGACACAGGGTGACCCAAAAAAAAAAAGAAGAAACACCCTCACGATCACTCGCTCTATCACTGTCTTGCCAGAGGTGTGCCGATACTACAATTCAAAACTGTAAATATCCCCACCCCTCCTTCAGAGTGTAGGCACTGTATTTCCCACCTCCAGGACTCAAGTCCATCTAACCAGTTTCCCTGAATCCCTTCATAAATGTTACTTTGCTCGCACTGCAACAGTACGTAAATTCATAAAAACTACTTGCCTCCACTCAGTCCTGTATGCCTGCTAGATGTCTAATCCCCTTGCACACAAAACCTCCTTTACCCTCTCCCTCTAATCTTTCCCAGGATGATCCCTACCCCATCTTCCTTCCACTACAGATTTATACACCCTCCATGTCATCCTATTCTGCTCTATCCTCTCTAAATATCTGAATTGCCACAACAACCTCTCTTCAGCCCTCTGAATAATGCTTTTAGCAATCCAGCACCTTCTTCTAATCTCCAAGCTATGGATTCTCTGCATTATATTCACACTGCAAATTGCCCTCAGACACGACATCTCCACTCCCTCCAGCAACATTCACCACCCATGCTTCACACCTATTTAAGAGTGTTGGTATAACTATACTCTATTTTTTTTCCTCCGTGGATAATAATAAAGATCATATGTACCTACCGTTGAGAAGGTTAACTAGAGAATGGAGTATGCCCGACTCCACAATAAGTTCAGCTGCAGCTTGGTCACCAGCGACAGTGCCCAACAAGACCACCACCTCCAGTGCTAGGTCATCCTCAACGGCATCTGTAACACAGAAATACAATATAAACACCATTCATACTAACTGCTGTTTATTATACATCTTCAAATTACTACACTGTAATGCTGACCAACACACTGTAACACCTCACTGTAATGTTGACCTAACACACTGTAACACTACACTGTAATGTTGACCTAATACACCGTAACACTACATTACACTGTAATGTTGACCTAACACACTGTAACACTACACTACACTGTAGTGTTGACCTAATACACCGTAACACTACACTACACTGTAGTGTTGACCTAACGCACTGTAACACTACACTACACTGTAATGTTGACCTAACGCACTGTAACACTACACTACACTGTAATGTTAACCTAACACACTGTAACACTATACAATACAGCCTCTCCTCACTTAACACGAAGTTCTGTTCCTAAGACCACATCGGTAAACAAATTCGTCACTAAGTGAGGAACATACTTTAATGGTAGTGGGTTTGTGTCAACTATCTCTGATATTGTTTTAAAGTCACCTTTGCACCATTTATAACACTTCTGATATATTTTTAAATAGTTGTGCAGTAGTTTACTGAATATTGTAATAAACAGAATAGAGGAAATCAGCTCTTAATATAGATTATTTAGGAATGCATTCCAGTCAGAGAGCCCATCGTAAGCCCGAGTCATCAGTAAATGAGTGCATGTCACTAAGTGAGGAGAGGCTGTACTGTAAAACTGACCTAACATACTGTAACAGTACACTATACTGTAATGCTGACCTAACACTGTAACACTACACTACACTGTAATGCTGACCTAACACACTGTAACACTGTAACACTACACTACACTGTAATGCTGACCTAACACACTGTAACACTGCACCACACTGAGTCCTTACTTATAGAAAATGTAACATACACTGATGACAATAAAGAAACGAGTGAAATACTGAAGTTACAAGTTGACTGTGTTCAGTGAACTGCTCATCAGTCTACAGATCAATGATCCAAATGAGTTTTCATAAATGAGACTCAAAATACAGCTGACATCTCCACAACTTCTGATGTAGGTCTATCCCTAGTTGACTTTGAAGCCACTCATAGCATGCTCATGTATTCTGCTTCAGGTCTCAACCTGTGAAAATGTTCATCAACAATAGAAAGGAGATATATGACAAGAAAAATATTGACACGATGGAAAAACAGATACAAATACAGTATAATGTGATCCATTATTGACCGTTTCACCCACACAATGGGATTTATCAAGTTACAAACAGATCTACGTAAGCAAAGAGTACATGAGTATATATACAAGGCATAGTGACGTGAAGAGTTAGGTGGAAAATACTGAGAAGTTGGATTTGAAAAAGACCTGCCCAGCCCTGTTGTCTACAGATAAGTAACCTGGACACAGGTGTCATCCTACACTTCACAAAAGTGGCAGTACAGCAACTGTAAAAAACTATAGACCAATAGCACAAATGCCACTCATCGAAATCTTAGAACAGCTCCTATGAAGCAAGCTTGCCAATCACATGGAATTACAACAACTGCACTATCCAAGGCAGCATGGGTTTAGAACAGGTGACTCTTACCTTTCACAACTGCTAAACCTTTGCATGATTTCATATGTACTGGAAGACAAACTAAGTGCTTTTTTAGTGTACATTGCTTCTGCACAAGCTGTCAATAAGTGTAACCACAGTGAAAGCACACAAAATGTGTACAAAGGAAATAAATGAAAAGATGGGCAAATGGCTGCTTAACTTCTTAACAAACAGAACAGATTAAGTAAAAGTGCTGTAAATAGTGAAGTGTGTGGCTGCCACACTGAAGAGCTCTGTTCCTCGAGGCACAGTATTGGCCCCATTTGTTTTTCATTCCTATACCCAACCTCAACAAGGACACAAATCATAGCACTATAACATCCTTTGAGGATGATGTTAGAATGTCTAAGAGTGGCATTCGTCAAGGACACTGTGAATTTTCAAGCAGATATAAATCAGTGGGCCTAAGACACTATATTTAATGGGGTCACATTTCAGTTGCTCCACTATGGAAGAATAGAGGAAACAAAAAAGACTGCACAGAAGTACAAGACAAGCTCAAATTATTCAAGAAAACCAAAGTTCCAAATGTGAGACTTGGGAGTGATAATGTCAGAGGATCTCACATTCAAAGATCACAACAATGTTGCTATCAATACTGCAAGGAAAATAATAGGCTGAGTTACTTTCACATTCAAAACAAGAGATGCTGAGCTGATAATGATACTTTTCAAGTCAATCATACTTTCCAGAGTGAAATACTACTGTATACTAACAAATTTCTTCAATGCAGTAAAGTGCTGAGTTAGAAAACAAAGAACCTTTAGTTCCAGTATACCTTCAATTGAACATCTGAACTACCAGGAACACTTGAACTATATTCATTGTATAGTAGCCGAGAATGCTGCAATATAATTTACACCTGTTCCAAACCTGCACAACAAAAATCACTCATTATGAAAGCAAGAGACTTGGCAGCTGGTACAAAGCACCTTCAATAAAGAGCATAGGCACAACCAAAATATTAAGAGAGATCTTGAAGGGTGTCAGAGGTTCCCTTTGACATACCTTTGATGAGTTTCGAGTCTTACTACTCTTGGAGCCCAGCCACTAACCAGGCTTGTCTGGTGCTAGCCTGGTCAACTAAGCTTTTGCTGCTGGAGGCCTGCTGCCCCACATATCCATCACAGCCTGATTCATCTGGCAACTGGCCTGGTTGATCTGGCACCTGACACCCTTCATACATAAGGGGTACTATCAGTAAACCTCAGGCTTAAAAATTTACTCAAATCAGATATGATCAGCCAGGCTGTGGTGTATATGTTGTATTGCATGCAGCCAGCACCAACAGTGATCAAGAGGTCTTGTCTGGGACTGAGCTGTGGGGGTGATGACCCCTGGTAATATCATAAAGTGAATATAAGGTACAGCAGCAGGTGATAATGATAAGTAATGGTGGTGGTAGCTGATGATGGTGGTGGTAGCTGATGATGATGGTGGTAGCTGATGATGGTGGTGGTAGCTGATGATGATGGTGGTAGCTGATGATGGTGGTGGTAGCTGATGATGGTGGTAGCTGATGATGGTGGTGGCAGCTGATGATGGTGGTGGTAGCTGATGATGATGGTGGTAGCTGATGATGGTGGTGGTAGCTGATGATGGTGGTGGTAGCTGATGATGGTGGTGGTAGCTGATGGTGGTGGTAGCTGATGATGATGGTGATGGTAGCTGATGATGATAATGGTGGTAGCCGATGATGGTGTTACTAGATGATGCCTCTGCTAAATGTTTGTGCAGGTATTGTATAGTGTCGCATCATCTCTCTTCAGAGCAATAAGCATCAACAACTACAATGTAAGGAATGGAAAACTTCATTACTTTTAACATAAAAAAATCTAGTTAGATATTTTTATAGATTTCAAGAATGTAACTATTTTTGCCAGATGTTCTTCAGTCTGCTTAATATAGCTTCAGGTAACACTAATTTTCAAGAATATAACCACCATGTTATTCACAACTCTAAAGTATAATACTGTACTTTAAAATAAAAATTTTTACTTTAATTTTCAATAAAAACTATTCAGTGATGTTTGCACCTTTGTGTGAATATTGAGAAACAAGAAACAATAAGAACACAACATTCCTTCAGCCAGCACTAATATTCCATTATACGTTCAGTAAACATTTTGATTTTGTAAGCATCTAACACACACTGCATGTGATTCCTTAAGCAATAATCTCTCTCTGTCTCAATTAAAATACATTCCACAAGTGTCATGTGTAATGATCAAACTGTGTTTTCTAACTTAAAACACACTACCATTAATGTTCTCTAATATACACTACCATTAATGTCTCTTAACCTAAACTACCATTAATGTTCTCTAATATACACTACCATTAATGTCTCTTAACCTAAACTACCATTAATGTTCTCTAATATACACTACCATTAATGTCTCTTAACCTAAACTACCATTAATGTTCTCTAATATACACTACCATTAATGTCTCTTAACCTAAACTACCATTAATGTTCTCTAATATACACTACCATTAATGTCTCTTAACCTAAACTACCATTAATGTTCTCTAATATACACTACCATTAATGTCTCTTAACCTAAACTACCATTAATGTTCTCTAATATACACTACCATTAATGTCTCTTAACCTAAACTACCATTAATGTTCTCTAATATACACTACCATTAATGTCTCTTAACCTAAACTACCATTAATGTTCTCTAATATACACTACCATTAATGTCTCTTAACCTAAACTACCATTAATGTTCTCTAATATACACTACCATTAATGTCTCTTAACCTAAACTACCATTAATGTTCTCTAATATACACTACCATTAATGTCTCTTAACCTAAACTACCATTAATGTTCTCTAATATACACTACCATTAATGTCTCTTAACCTAAACTACCATTAATGTTTTCTAACACCAGCAGAGTGTATCATATTGTTTAATATTCAATGTTTCTATTGTCAACACCAGAAGTCTATCATACTGCCTAGTGTTCTATCTTGCTATTAACACCAGCAGTGTTCTATCTTGCTATTATCAACACCAGCAGTGGTCTATCTTGCTATTATCAACACCAGCAGTGGTCTATCTTGCTATTATCAACACCAGCAGTGTTCTATCTTGCTATTATCAACACCAGCTGTGTTCTATCTTGCTATTATCAACACCAGCAGTGGTCTATCTTGCTATTATCAACACCAACAGTGGTCTATCTTGCTATTATCAACACCAGCTGTGTTCTATCTTGCTATTATCAACACCAGCTGTGTTCTATCTTGCTATTATCAACACCAGCTGTGTTCTATCTTGCTATTATCAACACCAGCAGTGGTCTATCTTGCTATTATCAAAACCAGCAGTGGTCTATCCTGCTATTATCAACACCAGCAGTGGTCTATCTTGCTATTATCAACACCAGCTGTGTTCTATCTTGCTATTATCAACACCAGCAGTGTTCTATCTTGCTATTATCAACACCAGCAGTGGTCTATCTTGCTATTATCAACACCAGCTGTGTTCTATCTTGCTATTATCAACACCAGATGTGTTCTATCTTGCTATTATCAACACCAGCAGTGTTCTATCTTGCTATTATCAACACCAGCAGTGGTCTATCTTGCTATTATCAACACCAGCTGTGTTCTATCTTGCTATTATCAACACCAGCAGTGTTCTATCTTGCTATTATCAACACCAGCAGTGGTCTATCTTGCTATTATCAACACCAGCTGTGTTCTATCTTGCTATTATCAACACCAGCTGTGTTCTATCTTGCTATTATCAACACCAGCAGTGTTCTATCTTGCTATTATCAACACCAGCAGTGGTCTATCTTGCTATTATCAACACCAGCAGTGGTCTATCTTGCTATTATCAACACCAGCTGTGTTCTATCTTGCTATTATCAACACCAGCAGTGTTCTATCTTGCTATTATCAACACCAGCAGTGGTCTATCTTGCTATTATCAACACCAGCAGTGTTCTATCTTGCTATTATCAACACCAGCAGTGGTCTATCTTGCTATTATCAACACCAGCAGTGGTCTATCTTGCTATTATCAACACCAGCAGTGGTCTATCTTGCTATTATCAACACCAGCAGTGTTCTATCTTGCTATTATCAACACCAGCAGTGGTCTATCTTGCTATTATCAACACCAGCAGTGGTCTATCTTGCTATTATCAACACCAGCAGTGGTCTATCTTGCTATTATCAACACCAGCAGTGTTCTATCTTGCTATTATCAACACCAGCAGTGGTCTATCTTGCTATTATCAACACCAGCAGTGTTCTATCTTGCTATTATCAACACCAGCAGTGGTCTATCTTGCTATTATCAACACCAGCAGTGGTCTATCTTGCTATTATCAACACCAGCAGTGGTCTATCTTGCTATTATCAACACCAGCAGTGTTCTATCTTGCTATTATCAACACCAGCAGTGGTCTATCTTGCTATTATCAACACCAGCAGTGGTCTATCTTGCTATTATCAACACCAGCAGTGGTCTATCTTGCTATTATCAACACCAGCAGTGTTCTATCTTGCTATTATCAACACCAGCAGTGGTCTATCTTGCTATTATCAACACCAGCAGTGGTCTATCTTGCTATTATCAACACCAGCAGTGGTCTATCTTGCTATTATCAACACCAGCAGTGGTCTATCTTGCTATTATCAACACCAGCTGTGTTCTATCTTGCTATTATCAACACCAGCAGTGTTCTATCTTGCTATTATCAACACCAGCAGTGGTCTATCTTGCTATTATCAACACCAGCAGTGGTCTATCTTGCCATCTTTCAAAACCAGCAGTCTAATGTAATCAATTTAAATTGAAAGATCTAATATACATACATCTGGTGAAAACCTGGTAAATACTGAATCTATAATATTTCAGAACTGCAACACTGTCATGAGAAAATGCCTGAAGTGTTGCCCACGTGTTTGCAACCCCACATCAGAAGTGGTCTAACCAGACATGATGAGTGGTCTAACTACACGAGAAGTGGTCTAACCACACATCAGAAGTGGTCTAACCAGACATGATGAGTGGTCTAACTACACGAGAAGTGGTCTAACCACACATCAGAAGTGGTCTATTTCAGGTAGCTTTATCAGTAAATAGGTACAGTGAGAAATGTTAACAACTGTACAGTAGAGCTGCTATGTAAATAGGTTGTCAGAAGGTGTCAACAAATCTGACACCAAGAGCTGCTATGTAAATTTTAACTGTAAGAAAATATTCTGATGAATTAGTTTATGCTCTGCCATTACAGCTAGAACATTGTTGATTTAAAGTTGGAAATAAGAGAGAATCTCTGAAATATCAATTTATGTGAAATATGACTGACTAGATAATAACATTGTGACAAACCTTTCTCATGTGAACTATATAATGTATTACCCAAGGAGATATAGTTACATAGTAAGGAATGGTAATCAATGTTACCTGGTTGCACTCTCCTTGATACAATCAGTAAGACTTTAATGTTACCTGGCTGCAGACTTTCCTTGATCCAGTCAATAAGGTTATATTTAGAAAGCAGCTGAGTGTAGTCCAGGTCAGGTAAGGATAGGTTTGCCCAACACACCCACACACTCTAATACAAAACTCATCACTCTTCCCGCTGCTCACTACCTCACACAGCTCCCCAACAAATTCCTGAAAAATATTACCCCTACTATTAATGTGTGTCACTTTATATAACTGCTTTCATTATTATTATTATTATTATTATTATTATTATTATTATTATTATTATTATTATTATTATTCCGACAATCTTGGGGAAGTGTCAAATCCATAAGTTCAACAAAATACTTAAGAAAGAGGGGAGTAATCAGGTTTGATCCACAGAATGGAACAGCAGCTCTAATTCCTTTCATTAGCAAGTAGCAGGGGTTCAGTACCAATACATCATAATGGACACCTGCATATAAGACATATTTCATATACAGGAGGACCTGCTTATACAGCAGGTTAGGTTCTGGGCTACTGCTGTACAGGAGGACCTGCTTATACAGAAGGTTAGGTTCTGGGCTACTGCTGTACAGGAGGACCTGCTTATACAGCAGGTGAGGTTCTGGGCTACTGCTGTACAGGAGGACCTGCTTATACAGCAGGTGAGGGTCTGGACTACTGCTGTACAGGAGGCCTGCTTATACAGCAGGTGAGGTTATGGGCTACTGCTGTACAGGAGGACCTGCTTACAGCAGGTTAGGTTCTGCACTACTGCTGTACAGCAGGACCTGCTTATACAGCAGGTGAGGTTCTGGGCTGCTGCTGTGCAGGAAGACCTGCTTATACAGCAGGTTAGGTTCTGGGCTACTACTGTACAGGAGGACCTGCTTATACAGCAGGTTAGGTTCTGCACTACTGCTGTACAGGAAGACCTGCTTATACAGCAGGTGAGGTTCTTGGCTACTGCTGTACAGGAAAACCTGCTTATACAGCAGGTGAGGTTCTGGGCTACTGCTGTACAGGAAGACCTGCTTATACAGCAGGTTAGGTTCTGGGCTACTGCTGTACAGGAGGACCTGCTTATACAGCAGGTTAGGTTCTGGGCTACAGCTATACAGGAGGACCTGCTTATACAGCAGGTTAGGTTCTGGGCTACTGCTGTACAGGAGGACCTGCTTATACAGCAGGTGAGGTTCAGGGCTACTGCTGCACAGGACCTGCTTATACAGCAGGTTAGGTTCTGGGCTACTGCTGTGCAGGAGGACCTGCTTATATAGCAGGTGACGTTCTGGGCTACTGCTGTGCAGGAGGACCTGCTTATACAGCAGGTGAGATTCTGGGCTACTGCTGTACAGGACCTGCTTATACAGCAGGTTAGGTTCTGCACTACTGCTGTACAGGAAGACCTGCTTATACAGCAGGTGAGGTTCTGGGCTACTGCTGTACAGGACCTGCTTATACAGCAGGTGAGGTTCTGGGCTACTGCTGTACAGGACCTGCTTATACAGAAGGTGAGGTTCTGGGCTACTGTTGTACAGGAAGACCTGCTTATACAGCAGGTTAGGTTCTGGGCTACTGCTGTACAGGAGGACCTGCTTATACAGCAGGTTAGGTTCTGGGCTACTGCTGTACAGGAGGACCTGCTTATACAGCAGGTGAGGTTCTGGGCTACTGCTGTACAGGAGGACCTGCTTATTCAGCAGGTTAGGTTCTGGGCTACTGCTGTACAGGACCTGCTTATACAGCAGGCTAGGTTCTGGGCTACTGCTGTACAGGAGGACCTGCTTATATACAGTAGCTCAGGTTCTGGGCTACTGCTGTACAGGACCTGCTTATACAGCAGGTTAGGTTCTGGGCTACTGCTGTACAGGACCTGCTTATACAGCAGGTTAGGTTCTGGGCTACTGCTGTACAGGACCTGCTTATACAGCAGGTTAGGTTCTGGGCTACTGTTGTACAGGAAGACCTGCTTATACAGCAGGTGAGGTTCTGGGCTACTGCTGTACAGGACCTGCTTATACAGCAGGTTAGGTTCTGGGCCACTGCTGTACAGGAGGACCTGCTTATACAGCAGGTGAGGTTCTGGGCTACTGCTGCACAGGACCTGCTTATACAGCAGGTTAGGTTCTGGGCTACTGCTGTACAGGAGGACCTGCTTATACAGCAGGTGAGGTTCTGGGCTACTGCTGTACAGGACCTGCTTATACAGCAGGTTAGGTTCTGGGCTACTGCTGTACAGGAGGACCTGCTTATACAGCAGGTGAGGTTCTGGGCTACTGCTGTACAGGACCTGCTTATACAGCAGGTTAGGTTTCTGGGCTACTGCTGTACAGGAGGACCTGCTTATACAACAGGTGAGGTTCTGGGCTACTGCTGTACAGGACCTGCTTATACAGCAGGTGAGGTTCTGGGTTACTGCTGTACAGGAGGACCTGCTTATACAGCAGGTGAGGTTCTGGGCTACTGCTGTACAGGAGGACCTGCTTACACAGCAGGTTAGGTTCTGGGCTACTGCTGTACAGGAGGACCTGCTTATACAGCAGGTTAGGTTCTGGGCAACTGCTGTACAGGAGGACCTGCTTATACAGCAGGTTAGGTTCTGCACTACTGCTCTACAGAACCTGCTTATACAGCAGGTGAGGTTCTGGGCCACTGCTGTACAGGACCTGCTTATACAGCAGGTAAGGTTCTAGGCTACTGCTGTACAGGAGGACCTGCTTATACAGCAGGTGAGGTTCTGGGCCACTGCTGTACAGGACCTGCTTATACAGCAGGTTAGTCTCTGGGCTACTGCTGTACAGGAGGACCTGCTTATACAGCAGGTGAGGTTCTGGGCTGCCACTGTACAGGAGGACCTGCTTATACAGCAGGTTAGGTTCTGGGCTACTACTGTACAGGACCTGCTTATACAGCAGGTTAGGTTCTGGGCTACTGCTGTACAGGAGGACCTGCTTATACAGCAGGTTAGGTTCTGGGCTACTGCTGTACAGGAGGACCTGCTTATACAGCAGGTGAGGTTCTGGGCCACTGCTGTACAGGACCTGCTTATACAGCAGGTTAGGTTCTGGGCTACTGCTGTACAGGAGGACCTGCTTATACAGCAGGTGAGGTTCTGGGCCACTGCTGTACAGGACCTGCTTATACAGCAGGTTAGGCTCTGGGCTACTGCTGTACAGGACCTGCTTATACAGCAGGTGAGGTTCTGGGCTGCCACTGCTGTACAGGACCTGCTTATACAGCAGGTTAGGTTCTGGGCTACTGCTGTACAGGAGGACCTGCTTATACAGCAGGTGAGGTTCTGGGCCACTGCTGTACAGGACCTGCTTATACAGCAGGTTAGGCTCTGGGCTACTGCTGTACAGGACCTGCTTATACAGCAGGTGAGGTTCTGGGCTGCCACTGTACAGGAGGACCTGCTTATACAGCAGGTGAGGTTCTGGGCTACTGCTGTACAGGAGGACCTGCTTATACAGCAGGTGAGGTTCTGGGCTACTGCTGTACAGGACCTGCTTATACAGCAGGTTAGGTTCTGGCTACTGCTGTACAGGACCTGCTTATACACCAGGTGAGGTTCTGGGCTACTGCTGTACAGGAGGACCTGCTTATACGGCAGGTGAGGTTCTGGGCTACTGCTGTACAGGAGGACCTGCTTATACAGCAGGTTAGGTTCTGGGCTGCCACTGTACAGGAGGACCTGCTTATACAGCAGGTGAGGTTCTGCACTACTGCTGTACAGGACCTGCTTATACAGCAGGTGAGGTTCTGGGCTACTGCTGTACAGGAGGACCTGCTTATACAGCAGGTGAGGTTCTGGGCAGCCACTGTACAGGAGGACCTGCTTATACAGCAGGTGAGGTTCTGCACTACTGCTGTACAGGACCTGCTTATACAGCAGGTGAGGTTCTGGGCTACTGCTGTACAGGAGGACCTGCTTATACAGCAGGTGAGGTTCTGGGCTACTGCTGTACAGGAGGACCTGCTTTATACAGCAGGTGAGGTTCTGGGCTGCCACTGTACAGGAGGACCTGCTTATACAGCAGGTGAGGTTCTGCACTACTGCTGTACAGGAGGACCTGCTTATACAGCAGGTGAGGTTCTGGGCTGCCACTGTACAGGAGGACCTGCTTATACAGCAGGTGAGGTTCTGGGCTACTGCTGTACAGGAGGACCTGCTTATACAGCAGGTGAGGTTCTGGGCTACTGCTGTACAGGAGGACCTGCTTATACAGCAGGTGAGGTTCTGGGCTACTGCTGTACAGGAGGACCTGCTTATACAGCAGGTGAGGTTCTGGGCTACTGCTGTACAGGAGGGCCTGCTTATACAGCAGGTTAGGTTCTTTGCTGCCACTGTACAGGAGGACCTGCTTATACAGCAGGTTAGGTTCTGGGCTGCCACTGTACAGGAGGACCTGCTTATACAGCAGGTGAGGTTCTGGGCTGCCACTGTACAGGAGGACCTGCTTATACAGCAGGTTAGGTTCTGGGCTACTGCTGTACAGGAGGACCTGCTTATACAGCAGGTGAGGTTCTGGGCTACTGCTGTACAGGAGGGCCTGCTTATACAGCAGGTTAGGTTCTGGGCTGCCACTGTACAGGAGGACCTGCTTATACAGCAGGTTAGGTTCTGGGCTGCCACTGTACAGGAAGACCTGCTTATACAGCAGGTTAGGTTCTGGGCTGCCACTGTACAGGAGGACCTGCTTATACAGCAGGTGAGGTTCTGCACTACTGCTGTACAGGAGGACCTGCTTATACAGCAGGTGAGGTTCTGGGCTGCCACTGTACAGGAGGACCTGCTTATACAGCAGGTGAGGTTCTGGGCTGCCACTGTACAGGAGGACCTGCTTATACAGCAGGTTAGGTTCTGGGCTGCCACTGTACAGGAGGACCTGCTTATACAGCAGGTTAGGTTCTGGGCTGCCACTGTACAGGAGGACCTGCTTATACAGCAGGTGAGGTTCTGCACTACTGCATGTACAGGAGGACCTGCTTATACAGCAGGTGAGGTTCTGGGCTGCCACTGTACAGGAGGACCTGCTTATACAGCAGGTTAGGTTCTGGGCTGCCACTGTACAGGAGGACCTGCTTATACAGCAGGTGAGGTTCTGCACTACTGCTGTACAGGAGGGACCTGCTTATACAGCAGGTGAGGTTCTGGGCTGCCACTGTACAGGAGGACCTGCTTATACAGCAGGTGAGGT